GTTATATACTTAACTATAAAGATATTATTAAACTATTTAACTAAAATACTATAAGAATAATTTATCTAGATATACTAGTTTAACTACTTAGATCTATAATTTTACTTTATAGTAGTATATTATATAGTAGTTATAAAAGATAAGGTTAAGTTAGTAATATTTAGTGTCTATATTTAGCTAGAATATTTTAACTATTATTATTAGGTATATTTATACTAGTATATAACCTAGGCTAACTATAAAGCCTAATAAAGTCTTAGCTTACTATATCTAAGCTACTATAGCCTAAAAGAAAGCTATTATAAACTTATTTATATTTATTAGTAGTATTAGGCCTATAGTAGAAAGTATTATTAAGGCTAACGCTTATTTTTACTATATAAGGTTAATTACTAGTTAACTTAGAAGTAAAGGTCCTTAAGGGGCTTAAGCCTACTTAACTATTAAGTCTAATAGTGTTAAGTATATAAAAGAGTAAGTAATACTTAGTAGTTTACTTATATAGTTCTTTTATTAGAATAAGTATAGTACTAGTAGCCTTTAGGTAATAAGTAGTATATATATTATTTACTTTAATAGTAAAGGTTATTAATATACTTTATAAAATAAATAAAAGGCTTATATTATCTAGGCCTATATAAGTTAAAACCTAGGTAGGTCTAGGCTATATAGGTAGTTACTTATACTAGCTAAGAACTAACCTAGTATAAAGTATAAGTATTATTAAGAATAAACTAGTAGTCTATTTTTCCTAGTAAGATCTACTAGTAGGCTAATATAAGAGCCTAGTAGGCCTATAATTTCTAGTCCTTTGCCTTTTAGTAATTACTATAATATTACTATACCTTTTATTTACTTTAGTAGTATACTATTTAGTAATATATTTATATTCTAGGTAGAGGCCTTACTTATTATAATGTCTTTATTTAAGTTAGTTTATTAAGGAGAGATTTTTTAGAGAGTATTTAGTACTTACTTAGTTATATATCTTTCTAGTATAACTAGGTTCCTTAATAACTAAGAGGTTTATAAGTTAGTATAAGATAATAAGATATCTATAGCTTTTATATAAAGCTATATATATAGGTCTAAATACTTTCTTGTGTTCTTAATAATTCTCTTGATTATCTAAATAGTTAATCTTATTTAGAATTAATTAACTATATTACTATAATCTAGTTTAAACCTTTTTTACTAGTTTATTATTCTATAAAATAGCCTATTACTATTAAATTTTATAAATATAAGGGTATATATATTATTATAAAGGCTTTATAGTAGAAAATAAGTAACTTTATAATCTAGATTTAGCTAAAGCTATATATATATATACTATATATTAGTAATTTAACCTAGTTATACTAGCCTTAGTATACTATTTCTATAAGCTAATTCTTATTAAAATAAAAAAGTATCTTTACTATATCTTAGTAAAAAAAAATTTTAAAGGTGTTAATTAAGGTAGTTATACTACTACTTAATATAGTCTTCTTACTAGCTATTATAGATCTAATAAAAGAAATAAGGTTATAATAGGTAATATAAAGTAATATAGTGTAAAAGTAAAGTATAATAATAAAGTAATAAAATAAGGTAAGTAATAATAAGGAGCTAAATAACTAATATAGGGCAAGAAGCTAGGTATAAGTGTAAATAGTCTATTAAGGTTACCTTCTCCTAGTAGGAGGCAATAGACAATAGGATATATATCTTATAGGCATATGCCTAGATATATGCTAGTAGGGTTATCCTATGTCCTACCTGTCTATTTACACTATAATGTTCTTGTCTAGTAACACTTAGTCTTATAAGTAGGACCTTTAGGTATACTTATAATAGCTTTATTTCTTATAGCTTTAAGTTATATAGTAAAGGTTATAAGTATTTCTTTAATTACTATTACTATTATAATTCTTTAGTAAGTAGTAAGCTTATTAGAGGTAAAAGCCTAATAGTATTCTAATATATTTAGCTTTTTAAGCTATATAAGAAGCTTTATAATGTTTAGGCGCTTACTTAGTAATACCTTTAGGTTAATATACTCCTAAAGGTTAAGTAACTTTACCTTTACTTTAATAAGGTTAATCTATATAACTTAGTTACTATATACTTATAGAATAATTACTTTATAATTAGTAGGTATTTTATTAATATTACTTAATAGAGGGGCACTTTAGCTATTATAGAAGTATATATTAAACTATTAATTATTAAATTATAAAGATTATAATATATAGTTATCTATATATTAATAGATATATTAATAGTTATCTTCTAATATATTCTAAGAAAACCCCTTATAAATGCCTTTTTTTTAATAGGGAAATCCTAAATGATTCCTAGCCTTCTGATTAGCTAATTCCCTAGTAAAGTGGGGCTAACCCACTAGAGAAACCCAGAGGATTTCTCTATTATTTCGCCATGTTATTTCGCTATATTTAACAGTAGGAGCCTAAGATCTACCTATATTTATACCTAGCTAGCTAGCTTAGCCTCCTAGGTAGTAGATAACCCCTAGAGATTAGAAAATATAATATCTTTAGGCTAAATACCTTTAAGGTAATTCTAAAGTGTTAATTAAAGTACGCCCTATTATCTAGAGGCTGCTTAGATAGGAATACTACTAGTAATAGCCTTAATTACCTAATTAACCTTAGACTTAGTATATTAACTTATAGTATATAGAAGAACGTATATGTGAAAAATAAAGTAATTTAGATAAGTAGTTAAAATGATGTGATAGTTTAAAGTGAGGGGATATATAAGAAAGTAGGTGGCTAGGCGGCATTTTTAGGGTGCCTATATGTTGGGGGTGCCTAGAAGTGGGTTACTTGACTTACGCCACGAAAGGGCCCATCGAAGCCTGTAACTTCTTGTGGGTCTCTGAGATATCGGTGCCTCTAGCGGCCGGTCGGCCTACTACGGTGTGGCCGTTGCGGCATACGCCGGGGGGCTTCTTAACCTGGGGAGGTTTTTCGATGACGATATCGACTAGGTGGTGCAGCTTGAACACATCTGAGCCCTCTGGCGTGCTGACGGCGTCGCCGAACTCGACGGCCTGAAGACTTTGTCACGAGTTGGAGCACAAAGCAGGGCATATGAGGATAGGAACGAAAGCGGCTTATTCTATGAAAGAGGAAGTATGTAAAAGAGAGACCCTATACATGGGCGAGTGTCACGGCTAATGAGCATAGCTCACGTGATATGGCACTTGGCAAGGCTTGCCAAGTGCGAGTAATGCATGAAGATATCATGACAGGTGTCGCATGGAGTTTAGAATCATCTCGTACTGCCACGCCGTCGACGGGAACCAACCGCTTCTATCGTTGTAGCTGACCCACGGTAAAGCGATCAGGTCGAGGTACCTGTCCCTGGTCATGTTGACTTCGTCACCAGAGCGAACCTCGAGCCTTTGGCTCCGGAGAAGCGGTACAAAAAGACTAGACTCAAGAAGCGACGCCCGAAGCCTCCACTCGGGCATATCTGAAAACAGAGGCGTTCGTTTGAGAATCTCAGTGTAGGCCTCCTCCAACCTGGGCCTGGAGGAGGGCATCGTCGGGCTGCGGCCTGCGTCGGTGACTTTCCTGCCAAGAAGCTGTACATTGAGCGCCGCGAGCTCGTACGCCTCGGCGACGAACGCGACGCGGTATGCCGCCTTGGACGTCCAGCCGTGGTCGCGGTGCTCGATCTTTCGCGTTTCTAGGAAGCGGGCGCCGCGGTCGATGGCAGCCTGGACTTCACCGGCGATGCCGTCGAAGAGGCTGCTTTTTCGCGCCTCAGCCAGCGTGAGGATGGCGTACGACGTCTGCTCGGGGAAGCCTCCCCAGGAGCCGTCCTCGTCATCCTGCTCCAGGAGCGCGCGGAGGCAGGCCTGGAACAGACAAATGCGGACGCGCCAGAGCAGCTGTTGACCCGCGGTTTCAAGTAAGGCGCCGCTTTCTAGGTGGCCGGATAGCTCAGTGAATGCCTTAGCCAGCAGCATTGTCGGGTACAAATGGCTCAAATGCTGTGTTGACGGGTCAACAGTGGTGTACTATTAATACATCATGGACAGCAGGAAGACCGAGCAACCGGCTTAAACTCACCCATTTATCTCGGATGCGGCCATCGCTCGCCCACCAGTACTCGCAAATAAAGTTGGCCGTTTTGATGATCTGTGGGTAGTACTGAGATATGTCGGGCTGCCGCAGCAGAGTGAGCAGGACATGGCAGTTGGATGTCAAGCTGGGATCCCGCTCGGAGCCGAATGTAGTGAAATGGTTACGGCCCTCGAACACTTTGATCATCTGGTCCGGGGCGACGTGGCGTCCCATCAGGTGGAGAGCCATGAGCCCTTTGGCCGTGTCATCCGCGTCTGGGGCTCGGGGAGCTGGATGCAGCCGGTCAGCAAAGCGGATGTGCTTTTGTTGAAACACGGTTATGCCATGTTGTGATTTTTTGCAACCTACCGAACCCAATGATCCCGCCTTCTTCTTTGAATGCACATTCGAGATGATCGGCTATGATGCCTAGCTCCTCTGGGCCTAGATCCTGGACGGAGAAACCGCCCTGCAGGAGTGTTACGACGACCTGGATTATTATAGTTAGCAAACTTCGGCAACGCAGAGACTCGGCAGCCCAGGCAACCTACCCAGCTGTACTCGAAATACGACGTTGGGAAGGTCCCCGGCACCCCGCCATCGCCGTGGCCGGCCCCGGCCTCCAAGACATGCCGTAGGAAACCCTCAGCTTCGTCATCCCACACTGACGCATGCATTAGGTATACCGCGGTGGCCGACGGCGAAGCCATCATGGAACCATGCCAGAGGTGGCCAGAAACGCGGTCAAAATCGATCTTGCCGATAAAGGCCTCGAGCGAGTGGGCGGCCGTCGAGACCTTTTGCTTGTACAAATGTTCGGGCTTAAAGCGAGCCATCTTGGCCTCGTACATCTCCTGGAGTGCCGCCCGGGCGGGGAACTGGAAGCGCATGCTCGGGTCCTCCTGCTCGAGGTAGGCGAACAGGGCCGGCGCGATGAGCTCTACGCCGATGTGATTGGTGCGTTGGGCGTCGTCCCAGTCTTGCAGCTGAGTCCTCAAGGACTCAGTTCCCAGTGCGACGCGCTTGCGGAGCTCGTCAGCAGATACGTCGTAGACTTGGAGGGGCTCCTTGAGGTGCTTCAACAAGGCCAACAGAGCCGCGGCTGTTCCCAGCACGCCGGTCGTTTGGGTCTGGGGGTGGCGAGCCCAGCTTCCATCTTCGGCCTGCGTCTTCAACAAGTTGTAGAAGCATTCGGGGAATAGCCACTTCTTCTGGCCGTTGGACGTTTTGGTGACCATGGCCACCCAGGCCGTGTTATACGGCTCACAGCTGGCCGTGCTAAAAGAATACTTTTCATCGCTGATACAAGACAGCCTTCTAATAACGTCTTTGGCAGCCGACGCTAGAGCCAGAGCCGTGCTGGGTGACATGGGTTGTGTTCCGTTCATCTTTGCAAGCTGATCTGCCTACCGGATAGCCTGTTCTACCGCAAGTTTCAAGCTGTGATAGTGATGTTTAAAACTGTGTGCCGCTCTCGAGTTGTTCGTTCCTGGGTTTTGCCGGTTGTTGAGCCACGGCTAAGGAGTTTGGTGGTGAATGAATCAATCACAACACGAATATGTATCCCAAAGAGCCGGATGGAAGGCGAGAGAAGATGTTTGCGTTTAAATAACCTTTCCCTTTTTTCTTTTCTTTTCTTACCGGACTTAGTAGGGTGATGGATTCTGTGCAAAATGTTTCACAGCAACGTCTGAATGTCTCCACTAACATACACCTTCAGTCGTTGCTACACACTGTTTCCAGGCCGTACGTTGAGGAACGGCCTGCAGTCCCACCATCGGTATAGCGATCAACTGCCCGACGGACTGATAATTATCCGTTTGACAGCGATTAAGGATCCTCTAGTAAGCTTTTTATGGTAAGCACGCTTGAGCCAAGGCGTCTATAGTGCTTTTGCAAAGTATATAACATTTCATCCTGGTGTGTAGCCGGGGCGGGTAGGTGGGAAATTCTAATTGATGAAAACATCCGTGCCTTCCGGGTGACTGTGGCTGGGAAGCGGACGATGGTCGGAGTCCGTCTTTGCGCCAGACCCCGGTATTGCGTCCCATGGCCGGCAAAGTCTCTCGCGTGGACACAGATCGAGTCAGATCTGGGGTTCCGGCTACGGTTACCAGGCATTTAAGGTTTGTGGGACTGGATCCACGCAGCAAAGTAGCGGCGCAAGTATCAGGGTAGCGGTTAACAGGCAGACACATTGCGGGTCTGCCCACGGGCCCCCAAAGTACCGCACTACAACCAACATTAATTATATTAAAATAATAGATATATTCGGATATTCTGATTAGTCAATCAAGTTAATGTAGGTCCACTACATCCTCCTCGTTTTTTCAGGGTCAACCAGACCACCCACCTACGCGTAACAACAGCAAGTCAATAACCTATTGCTACTAACCTATTGCCACTAACCTATTACTACTAACCTATTGTTAACTACGTTATTTATTACTAATTAACCTTTTACCCTATTATTATTGTTTTCTTTATATTACTATAGTATTAGATATCCCTCTGTTAACTACTAGTAAGGCTAACGTAATTAATATATTAGATAATAAAATTATAACCCTCTAAGTGCCCTTGCTACCTAACTATAAGGACAATATAGTTAACTTTAACCTAGAGGACTTTTAGAAAAAGCTTAACAGTAAGAATATTCCTTTTACTAGCTTACTTACCTATCTAACTATTTACTTTATTAAGACTTACCTTATATATCCCTAAGACCTAGGCTAGCCTTATTATTATACCTAATAACCTTACTACCTACTATAAGTAATACTTTTACTTTACTAAGCCTATAGAAGTAGACACTACTAAATTTAAATAAATATAGGCTTTTATTAGTAATTTCTTTAATTTAACTAAAGCTTAAAGCTATACCTCTAGTAGTACTACTACTACCTACTATTACTGCCTACTTTAGTTAACTAAAGCTAATAAGCCTTAAGGCAGTAAGGCTATAATAACCTATAACTACACTATATAAGTAAGCACTAGTTACCCTATATACACTAAAGTTATTAAGTAATAAATAGGTAACTTTACTATAATAGTAGTTATTTTATAAGTTAGCCTAGGCCTTTATAACTACCTACTTAAACGCCTTAATTAAATCTACCTACTATAGGGTATTAAAGACCTTACTACTAAGTAAGTTACCCTTAGTTATTTACTTACTAAAGTCTACTATATACTCTAAGGCTACTTTAGCTACTATAAGGCTATTAAGTAAGCGCTAGTAACTATAGGCAGCTATTAGCTTTCTTACTAGGCTATATATAATATAGGCTACTACTAGCTAGCTACTTACCTTAACCTTTGCCTTATTAGCTATAACTATCTATAGTACCTATAAGTTACTAAAGCTAAGGCTTATTACTACGCCTATAACCTCTAATTTTAGTATTATATAGTCTAATGTACTAATAAGGTAAGCAAAGGGCTTACGTAGGCCTCTAAGGCTAGCCTTACGTTATTATAGTAATATAGCCTTTTTACTATAATAAATACTATTAAATATTAAGGTTTAAAGACCTTATATATATAAAAATAAGATAATAATATAATAAAGAAGTAGAATATATATTATAGTATTAATAATACTATATACACTATATACACTAATATAAGAATAACTACTTAGGAAACAACTATATATACTATATAATAATAATATTTATATATAAAGAATAGGTCTTTTAAGTAAGACCTCCTCCTTCTCTAAGGAATTAAGAATATAGTTCTAGGTTATATAAGGTAAACAGATAAAATAATACCCTACTATAGGTAAAATAATACCCTATATTCTAATAACCTACCTAATAACCTACTTAATAACCTAGAATACTAAAGAAATCCTTAGAATACCTAAGAGATAAGTATAAGTAATCCCTTATATCCCTAGGTCTAGTTAGATAGTTAGATCTATAAGCTTTTCTATTATATCTATAATAATATACTACCTTTATATCTTATCTCCTATCTCTTATCTCTTATTTACCCCTTTTGCCTCTAAAAGGTTATAAGCCTAGCTCTTAAGACCTAGAAAGAGGTTAAAAAAAGCAACTTTTTAAGAATTAAACCTACAGCCTCTGCCTTTTTAGGCACTTTCTTAATAACCTAACTAATTTAACTAACGCCTTCTACTAAAGGTAATATTAACAGTAATAGATTTAAAGATAAACCTTCTTGCCTTAAGGGCACTCTTAACTATACTACTTAGGCAGTTAGAATTTAAGCCCTTCTTATTTCTAAAGATATTAATATTAACCTTTAGAACCTACTTACTAAAGAGAATAAATAATATAATAATAAGGCTTTAGCCTATATCTAACTATATTACTCTAATAGGCTATTAAGGGTTATAAAAGACTCCTTTATAGCCCTAGAGGCTTAGAAAAAACTAGCTAATTTATATAAACCTAAGGGTTTTACTAATAAATTTCTAACCTATAAGGAGTTCTTTAATACCTCTTTAGAGGATTTTAATACTATTAAAGAATACCTTACTAAGGTTAAGAGTTAACTAATAATCTAGCTAATAATAAGCTAGAACTACCTAAGAAGGTTATAATTACCTAGGTTTTAAATAGCCTTAATAATACTTATAAGGGTTTTATAACTAATATAATATAAAGCCTATAAAAGGACCCTAATTCTTATACTCTAGATATACTATTTTCTAGCCTTCTAGATAAATATAAAAGAAAGAAGGGTTCTACTATAATAAACTAATAAAAAATAATAATAGAATAATAAAAAAACTATAGAAAAAGTAAAGAGGTCTCTTCTTTAAAACTACAAGAAAACTAACTATATAGAGAATAACTATACTTTTCTTTACCCTAATAAAGCACCTGTTTAGTAGAAAAATAAGAATAAGGATAAGAAAGAAGAAGAGAAAAAGTTAATACTATAATTTCTAAGGATATAGACTTAGATATAAGTCTAACCTCTACTAAAGGAGGAGAAACCCCTCCTGCTTATAACTCTACTGCCTATAATAATATTCTTTTAAGAATATAAGTATAACCTATAATAATAATAATAATAATAATAATACTAATAATATAACCCTAGGTAATTTAATAAAGGAGAAACTAGGGAAATAAAATAGATTATATCTAGGAATAATAAATATATTACTTTTTGCCTTAATACTACTGCTACTATTTATACTATAAGTAATATAAAAATCTATATAATATAAATACTATTAAAGAAAATATAAGGTAGAGAGAAGTAGAATCCCTAACTATAAACTATAAAGAGATATAGATATCCTAATTAATAACAATATATATACTATAAAAGATGTTTATTATATTCTATAACTAGGCTTAAATCTTCTAAGTTAGAATAAGTTAGATAAAATAAATATAGTATCTATATTCTATAATAATAATCCTATACTATATAATATAAAGGAAGATAAACTACTAAGTATAGGAAGAAAGATTAATAGTTTATATTACTTTAACTTCTATATACCTTATAATAATAACTATAATAATAATAATATACTTAATATACTACTAATAATAATAATACTACTAATAAAATAAATCTAATAAAGATAAAGATTTAGCTATACTATAGTATAATAGACTTAGATATATAGCTTACTCTTTATTACCTTACTTAAATAAAGCTACTATATTAAAAGTAATAATAATAATAATAATAATATATATACCTAAGATAAATAATATATATAAAGCCTATTTAAAGGGAAATTTATAAATAAAGTAAATAAGATAAGTAATAATAATAGACCTATATTAGAATATCTAGAAGCAGTAGCTTTAATTTATATAGACCTATAACTCCTATAACATATATAAGAATAGATAGTTTATTATATTTATTAATATATATACTAGATTTACTTAGGGATATCTTCTAAAAACTAAAGATTCTAAAGAAATTATACTATATTTAATAACTTTAAGAATCTAGTAAATAATAATACTAATAATAAAAGAATAAGAGAATTTAATACAGATAGAGGAAAGGAATTTAATAATAAAAGAATAAAAGTAATATATAATAACAAAGGAATAATACATAATATAAGACCTCCTTATACACATGAACCTAATAGTATAATAAAAGAATAATAAGAAATATAGTTAATAAAATAAGACTTTACTATATAATTCTAATCTACCTAAATATTTATAGGGAAGGCTTTCTTAGCCTCTATATATATATATAATAGAACCCTATATTCTTTTATAGATTATAAAACACCCTATAAAATAGATATAAAATAAAACCTAATATATCTAATATAAGAGTCTAGGGAAGTATATGCTACTATAAAAATAAAGACCCTAATATTAGAAAATTAGATTTAAGAGCTAAT